CTTCCATACGACAGTTGGTGCTCATCACAACAAGAGCACTCTATTTTCACCACTTATTTAACCCATTCCCCTACCCACATCCCTTCTGGTAACCACCAGTTTTGTTTTCTACAGTTAAGAGTCTGCCTTTTGAGATCCCAGAAGTCCATGGACAGATAATGGATAAAGAAGATGTGAACTATTACCCAGCCATTAAAAAGAATGAAAACTTGCCATTTACACAATGTGGATGGAACTAGAGAGTGTTATGCTAAGTGAAATAAGTCAGTCAGAGAAAGACAAATATCACTCATGTGTGATTTCACTCATATGTGGAACTTAAGAAACAAAATGGATGAACACAGGGGAAGGGAAAATAAGAAGAAAACAGAGAGTGGGACAAACTATAAGAGATTCTTAACTATAGGAAACAAACAGGATTGCTGGAGAGGAGGAGGGAAGAGGTATAGGGTAATTGGGTGATGGGCATTAAGGAGGGCACTTGATGGAATGAGCACTGGGTGTTATATGAAACCAATGAATCACTAAACTCTATCTCTGAAACTAATAATACACTACACGTTAATTAAATTGAATTTTTAAATAAGAGTCCGTTTCTTGCTTTTCCTCTTTTTCCCCAAGTTCATTCGTTTTCTTAAATTTCATATATGAGTGAAATCACATGGTATTTTTCTTTCTCTGACTTATTTGACTTAGCATTATACACTAGCTTCATCCATGTTGCAAATGCCAAGATTTCATTATTTTTTTAAGATTTTATTTATTTGACAGACAGAGATCACAAGTAGGCAGAGAGGCAGGCAGAGAGAAAGAGGGGGGAAGGAGGTTCCCCGCTGAGCAGAGAGCCTGATGCAGGGCCTGATCGCAGGACCCTGAGATCATGACCTGAGCTGAAGGCAGAGGCTTTAACCTACTGAGCCACCCAGGTGCCCCAAGATTTCATTATTTTTTATTCCAGTCTTTTCTCAAGTCCAGTGAGTATCCTTATGATCACTGCTTTAAATTCTCTATGAGGCATGATACTTATATCTGTTTTATTTATATCTCTGGTTATGGCTTTGTCCTATTCTTTTATTTGGGATACATTTCTCTGTCTCTTCCTTTTGTCTGCCTCTCTGTGTCTCTTTCTTTGTGTTAAGAAAGTCAGCTGTGTTTTCTGCTCTTGAAAGCAGTCACTTTATGAAGAAGAGGTCCTGGAGTGGCTTGCAGTGCAGTGTCCTCTGTTCACCAGAAACTAGCACTTTAAAAAAGTATCGGGGCACCTGGGTGGCTCAGTGGGTTAAAGCCTCTGCCTTTGGCTCAGGTCATGATCTCAGGGTCCTGGGATCGAGCCCTGCATTGGGCTCTCTGCTCAGCAGGGAGCCTGCTTCTTCCTCTCTCTCTGCCTGCCTCTCTGTCTACTTGTGATCTCTCTCTGTCAAATAAATAAATAAAATCTTTAAAAAAAATAAAAAAAATAAAAAAGTATCTATGTGTTTTGCTTACACCCTACTGTTGTGTTTGACTAAAGGAGTCACTTTTCCTTTCAGTGCAGTCATCAGCATGGACTCTCTACCTGCTATGGGCTGTGCTTATTCTCTGTGGTGTTAGTGGGCTCCAAGGAGGTCAGCTCTGAGGGGGTATGCCAGCTGGTGAACTTGGGAGCAAAAAGATGGCATTAGGAAAATTAGTGCTGGGCCACTAGTCCTATGCTGGATCTCCTGAAGCACTATGGCAGCTGGAGGCTGCACACCAGGGCTGCTGGGGCTGAGGCTGGGCAAGACTGGGCCTGGCAAGTGCTGGCAGCTGTGAGTATGTGGCATGTGCCTGTGGCTGGAGGCACATGGCTGGGCACTGTTACACATGTGTATGGCACGCTGCATCAGCTGTGTACCCAGCAGCTGGCTGGAGTGCATGCATGGTTTTAACAAAATTTACCTTGAGCTCAGAGCCTAGGCTAGGAAGCTTGGAGTGGGATAGTCTTCAGGAGAACTCAGGCTGTGATGCACTGCTAGCAGATAAGGTAGCAAGTGTCTGTGCAGCCCCCTGATGCTTTCAGGTGGCTCTGTGTTCATACTGGAGGGCAGGGGAGAAAACAGCGCCTGTCAGTTCCCTCATTTCTAAAGTTCTCCAACACACTCCAAAATCAGTATGAAATGCTATGTAAACTGACATTTTTATGTTGCCCCTCCATGCAGGTTGCTATCTCTTTAAGGGCGGTGACCAAGGTATGACTCAACCTTCTAGCTCACCCAGTGCTTAGTCAACAGACTTTTAAAGTACCACTCCAAGGACCACTGTTTTCATAAACTTATGGAATTCAGCCCCTCTGGCTTTTAAAGCCCAATGTTATGGGAGGAGTCTTCCCCATGTGAGCTCCCTGGTGTGAGGATTCTCCTCCTTCTCTGCCCATACAGCTCCGTCTCTGGTGCAGGCAGCCTCCCTCTGCCTTTCCGATCTTTCTAACCCTTCAGTTGCAGCTTCTTTATATTTACTTGTGCAGTTTGTTCTGCCAGTCTTTGGATTGCTCCTTGGTTCGTTGACTTGGTTGTGGACAATGTCCAGCTGAAAATATGGGATGGGGTCCTCATACTCTACCATCTTTCTTCCACTTTTTTTTTCTCTCAGTCATGCTTTTCAACTACAAAATCTCTGTTTTTTTTTAATTATTTATAAATATTCTCTTTGTGGAGACATAGTGACTATACTTTAATTCTTTAAACGTATTTCCTTTAGCATTTTGAAAATATTTGTAGTATTTAAAGTCTTTGTCTATTAAATTCAACATCTGGCCTCCCTCAAGGACAGCTAGTGGCTTCAGCACCCTTCCCCACCATGGGTCATATGGTTGTTTCTTTATGTGTTAGTTTTCTGGGACTTCCATAAGAAAGTACCACATAATGAGTGGCTTAAATAACAGAAATTTATTTGCCCTCAGTTCTAGAGGCTAGAAGTCCAAGTCAAGGTATCAGCAGGGTTGGTTTCGTCTGAAGGCCTTTTCTCCTTGGTTTGTAGATAGCTGTCTTTTCACTGTGTCTTCACATGGTCTTTCTTCTGAGTATGCATGTCTGTTCCTAATCTGCATTTGTTATAAGGATACCAGTCATATTGGATTAGGGCCCACCCTAAGTAAGTCTTATACTTAATTACTTCTTTAAAGAAACTATATCCAAATATAGTCACATTCTGAGATACTTGGGGTAGGACTTCAACTTATGAATTTTGAAGGAACACAATTCACCCCATAGTTCTTTCCTTTCTCTGTTATTATTGTTGTAGAAACTGGACATTTAAGACAAGTAGTGTAACAACTCTGATGATATCTGAACTCCCCTTCCCATCTCTTGTTTGCTGTTATTGCCTTTTTTTTTTTAACTTGTTGCTGCTCATTTGGTTAGTAACTTATGTGGACTAATTCTATAGATTCTGTACTATATAGTGTGCAGTCACTTACTTCTCTGACAGACTTTAAAAATTCTGACTTTTATTTTTAAAACAAGTTCCTAGGAGTCATCCTGGGTCAGTTTAATTTAGTAATCAATTAAAAGATTTCTTTAAATGCCTAGAGTAAGTCTTCCATTATTTGCCAAAGGAATCTGTGTGTAAAGGCACACTTCAAATTTAAGACAGTTTACAAGTCAGCCTCAACTTTTACTTCTTGCTTGACCAGGTCTCAACATCAAATTAGAGTTTTCTGACTGGAGTCTTCTTTCCTAGGTCATTTCTGGTCATACACACTACCATTCTGAGCCTTCTATATCCTCAGAAATATCAGAACTTTTAAAAGTTCATTTTGGTTCTCTAGCTCTCCAGGGATTCCTTCAAAGTTAATTTTTGGCCAGGCTCTTGTTGCTCAACTAAAATCACAGCCTTAGCCAACTGTGATGATGTTACCAGCAGATTGTTACTGTTTTTATTAATGCTCTGTGGATAGGGCTTTTTCCAAAAAAGCTGAGCCCTGATTCAAATCCAATAGGAACAATTCCCTGGGAATGGAGTTTTTTTTTTCAGGACTTATTTTAGTTAAATTACTGATAGTGCTCTAGAGATGGGGCTTTTAACACCACTCTAAATAGATCAGCTCTTTCATTCAACTTCAAGGCTTTTCGTGGCTACCATTTCATTGAGTTGAGGAAGGAGAGTGATAGGAATAGTTCTAAGTTAAAATGCCACAGACCTTACTCTTTTTAAAGAGGTTTGGTAGTTTTTTTTGTTGTTCTTGTTGTTGTTTTTTATTTGTTTGTTTTTTTGTTTTTAGAATAGACACATTTTAGTTTGTTCTGTGTTTTGGTTAATTTCCAGTGTTCCTAATTGGCTGATTTATAAAACTGTTTTTGAAGTATCTTTGTTGCTTTTGTGAGAAAAGGAGTTCATTCCATCATACCAAAAGATTCAAAATTTCCATTCACTAGGTTTTTGGGTAATTTTCTACAAAGGAATAGATACAAATAAGCTACATAAAAAGATTGCTTTTGTCACTAAGAAAGATAATGCAGAGAAAGTGTTTAGTATGGATTTACCAAAGCTAAGCATTGAACAAATTAAATATAACTATTTATACTACTCTCTAAAAATTAGTTTTGAGGAGACAATCTATTAAATATTCTGCTCCTTGTTTTTAAAAAATGAACATAGTAGACAGAAGGGCAAACTTCAGATCGTGGAATCATTTCACTTTCAGCCTAGAGAAACATTTTTGTATCTTGATCAGAATAAAAATTGTGTGCTAAATTTCTCATAGTATTGTGGCTCTTTAACTCATCCTCTGAAAGATGATGCAATTAGCTGAAAGACAACCTAGAGCCAAATGTCTCCATTAGTTATTAACTTTTGTGGCCAATTGTCTTGAAGTATACTTTTTTGTTTCTTGCTTCTGATTTAGCTTACTCTAAGATACTGGTAATTAGTAGGAAAAGAAAGAAATGGGTAGCTAAATAGCATAGTTAAGTGCCTTCTTTGTAAGTAATACAAATGGATCTTCATATAGCAGCAGTCTCTTTTTTTCCCCCTATGGGTCTTACCTTGCACTTCCCAAAGTTCTTGATTGTTACGTTTTAGAAAAATCTTAAGGTTATTTATGAAATTCAGAGCCAAATCAGAATTCCCTGAAACTGAGTAAGGCACAATCGTTTGACCATATTGACTCAAGTCCAGTTCTCTCGTGGGAAGGTCATAATTCGAGTATGCAGTTCTTAAGAGATATGTAGTGAAAACCAAAATTATTAATATCTGTAGCAACATCAACTTCCAATTGCGCCAAGTGAATAGTGCTCTCTTTATAAACATGGAATAAAATTGCTGGCAGTAAAGTGAAAACTAAAAAGAGGAGAGAAACATATCATTACAATGGGTAGTGACCCAAGTAGGAAATTCATAGTGAAACCCATTAATATAAATGCTCCAAATTTTTATCACACTAGATATACACATATAATACAAATATATCCTTTAGCCCAAGAAAATAAATAAGATAGTATAAAATTTTATTTGTGTAAAGTATTAAGGGAAAGGATTCATATCTAGTTTCTGATCTAACTACATTGAAAATCTTATCAAGTTTATTTTATTCATTAATATATTTGTAATGTTTCCAATCAGAAAACAAAATTGTATTTCTTTTATTTGATATTAAACCATAATCTATTTGTCAGTTTTAAAGGCAAATATCCCCACGAAATTTGTATGTAACTACTATACTTTGTTAAGATTTGATATACAAACTATGGTTCATCATGAGAAAATGCCCTTAATCTGGTCAACCAATATCTTCTGATTGTAACAGTCATAATTTTGGGTCTTGTCTTAGAACTGAACAAAGGGGAAATTTATAAGAAAATAAATGAGGGGCTCCTGGGTGGCTCAGTGGGTCAAATGTCTGCCTTTGGCTCGGGTCATGATCTCAAGAGTCCTGGGACTGAGCCCCGCACCAGGCTCCCTGCTTAGCAGGGAGCCTGCTTCCCCTTCTCTCTCTCTCTGTCTTGCTTCTCTGCCCCTTTGTGATCTCTGTCTGTCAAATAAATAAATAAAAACCTTTAAAGGGAAATAAAAAACTTTTCAAAGTGATTCTGAGAATTAATGGTGAAAGTAGCATCTGTGATCTTTATCCAGAACCCATTTCTCCTGCATCAGGAAATTATTGGGGTTGTAACACATACTGGTCTCTATCTGGCTTGATGTTCCATGTCTAAACTCCAAATATCTTTTAAGTTCAAATATTTTAAAAATTACACATATTATACCCAAGCCAAACATACTAGGTTTACATTCTTAATGAATTTGCTCACCCCAGTATTAAATTTAATAGTAGCAATTTCATTCAATCTAGAGAAAACAGCTCTCTCATGATATCTGGACATATTCATATTCTTCTTCATGTCTTGTCTTATTTTTTGGCCCTTTAAGGAAGTAGCATGGGTATCCTGAATATCCATATGGGATCCTGCCAGGTTATTGACCCTACAAACACAGATAGACAACAAAAAGCACAAAACATTTCATTTTGACTATAGTCTCAATCTATTTTATTTAGGGAAAGTGAAACAAGGTTCCAAATTTGGAAGACTCCTTGATCTTTCTCATTGATTGTAAGGTGTATTGTATAGAGGCAGTATGATAAACCAATAAATCAGAGGGCTGCTGAAATTCCACAGCAAAGTTTATATCATTCTGAGACAACATGAGAAAAGCAATTACAATATTGCATATTTCATAAGCTGAACTTATTTAATTTAAAACTTGCCTCTAGTCAAAGATAATAACTCTCCTTTGGGGGTTAAAATGTTCTTTGTTTTGTGAAATGATGGAGACATTTATACAATAGCAGGGTTGGTGGTGGTGGTGGTGTTTTTTTTTTTTTTTTTTTTAAGTCCTTACACTTCCTACTACTGCCTATGTCTAAAACTGGCTCTTTGTGTATGGATACTTGAAAGAGGTGAAGAGCTATAGGAATAATTATAATCTAAGGAGAAAAACTCTAAGAAAAAAATGGAAAAAACAATATATCACAGTATATTGAGAGACAGGAAAGATTAATTACCTTGGTCAAAGTGGTAAAACCCTTAGTAGAATATATATGATTTGAAAGGTATATTTTTTTTCTTTTCCTTTTTAAAAAAGATTTTTATTTATTTGTGGGTGTCTGTGTGTGTCTGTGTTTGTGTGTCTGTGTGTGTGTGAGAGAGAAAGAGAGAGCGCACGCACATGAACAGGAGAAGGGGCAGAAGGAGAAGCAGGCAAGGAGCCCAATGTGTGACTCAATCCCAGGAACCTGGGATCATGACCTGAGCTGAAGGCAGATGCTTAACCTACTGAGCCACCCAGGTGCCCCAGGTATATTTTTCTAAACCACAGAATTATCAAAATCTTTTTAATACCTCTCTGTTAGCATTTCTATGAAAAAGAACATAAACAAATTGTCAACTATAACAACCAAAAGCAATGAACAGATCGATAAGACTTCTATACTTTTAAAAAACTGTGCATTAAATACATATTAAAAAAACCTGCTTTAAGATATTCTTGTAGCATGTTTTTTGTCTGATACTAAAAGTCTGAGGACTATTGTACTTTTAAAATATAATCATTAGATATTTTTTCTTTCATCTTTCTTAAGTTTTCTTTTTTTATTTTATTTATTGGTAATAAATTTCCATTGGGAAAACATTAGAGAATATGAATAAGTGCAAGGCAAAATATTTCTATGACCTAGAGATAGTACTGATATTTTCCACATACCTTTATAAAAAGGGACAAACATACACTCTCTTAAAAGTGGCAAATTGATTATGCTTAATCCATTTGTTTTCTTTTTTATCTTCTTACTTTCCAGATTTTACCCCAGCTTTTTGAAGTATGATTGAGAAATAAAAATTATATGCTTAAGGTATAGAACACGATACTTTGTTATATGTATATATTATAAAATTATTACCATAATCAAGAAAAGTAACATATCCATCATTGCACACACTAACTTTTTTTGTGGTAGGAACACTTGAGATTTACTCTTTCATCAAATTTCAAATTTACAACATATTATTAAATATAGTCACCATGCAGTACTTGTGGTGACCAGCAGGTCTCCAAAACTTACTCATAACTGAAAGTTTGTACCCTTAGACAAACTTTTCTCACTTTCCCTCCTCCTTGCACCTAGTAACCACCATTCTATTCTTTGTTCAACTTTTTTAAGACTCCACACAGAAGTGAGATCATGCAGTTTTCATCTTTCTCTGTCTGGCTAATTTCACTTAGCCTATTGTCCTCCAGAGGGTCCAGAAATAAACATACACTTATCTAGTTAATTAACCTCAATAAAGGAGACAGGAATATACAATATATTCTGTCTTTTCAATAAATGGTGTCGGGAAAACCAGATAGCTACATACAAAGAACGCAACTGGACCACTTTCTTATACCATACACAAAAATAAACTCAAAATGGATTAAAGACCTAAATTTGAGACCTGAAACCATAAAATAAAACAGGCAGTCATCACTTGGATATTGGCCTTAGAACATAATCGTGGATATATCTCCTGAGGCCAGGAAAACAAAACCAAAAATAAATTGTTGGTACTAAACAAAAACAAAAGGCTTCTGCACAGCGAAGGAAGCCATCAACACAACAAAAAGGCAACCTAGTGAATGGGAAAAGATAATTGCAAATGACAAATCTATTAAGTCTTTAATATGGAAAATACATAAAGAACTTACATAACTCAATATGCACACACACACACACACACACAGAGTCAGATTAAAAAATAAACAGATGAGGGGCACCTGGGTGGCTCAGTGGGTTAAGCCTCTACCTTCGGCTCAGGTCATGATCTCAAGGTCCTGAGACTGGGTCCCACATCGGGCTCTCTGCTCAGCAGGGAGCCTGCTTCCCCTTCTCTCTCTGCCTGCCTCTCTGCCTACTCGTGCTCTCTCTCTCTCTCTCTGTCAAATAAATAAATAAAATCTTAAAAAAATAAACAAATGAGAGAAGAGGCAAGATAGCAGAGGAGTAGGGAATCTTGTTTCAACTGGTCCCTTGAATTTAGCTGGATATCTACTAAACCGGTCTGAATACCCAAGAAATCAGCCTGAAATGTAAGACTATATATCTGGATCTCTACAAACAGAAAAACACCACCTGTCTCGAGGTAGGAGAGGCTGAGTCATAAATCTGTGGGGAGATGGTGGAAGAAAAACTGAAGAGGGAGGGAGCCTCCATAAGCTGGCACCTGAAAAGTGATATAACTCCAGAGGGCAAAAGTGTCCTGTGCCAGGAGGAGGCAAAAATTTGCAGAGCAGTAGTGGCAGGGAAAGTAGAGCAGTGCCCTAGACAGAATCCAGGACATGTGGGTGCACACATGCAAGCCCCCATGAGCCCAGGGCCACTTGTGGTTTTAAAAGTACCAAGGGCAGGGACACACACCAATCCCTGGGTTGATCCCTGAGAGAGTTGCTGTGGGTATGCACCAGGGGTGGCTGTGGTTTTCAGAGGTGCATACAGAAACAGAAACTGTGTTCTGGAGGGTTTAGTGAAGAAAATAGACTGCAATTTCTCTGCTCTGGGACAGGGGACTGGGTGCAGCCATTTTTGCTTTGACCCTCAGAAGAGGCAAGAAAAGCCACCAGAGAACAAAAGCTCAAAAAACCAGTTTCCATGGAGCCCAGCCCCCTAACAGGGGGCAGCGCAACTCTGCCCAAGCAGAAACAGTGTAGCAGGCCCCTCCCCTAGAAGACACACTGGAAAATTAAGAGGACAACAACTCTAGGGTCCCCATAAAACTGTGAAATCCCAACATCAGGGGAAAATAGTATATTGAGTTCCAGTCATTGTCTCAGGGCTTGTTTATTTTTCAGATACAACTCTCTTTTTCTTTTTCTATTTTCCCTTATGTTTCTTCTGTGTTTTTTCTTTTTACCTTTTTCTCATTTCAACTAGATGTTTAATATTTCATATTTCATAATAGCTTTTTAACTTGTGCTTTTTCATACCTTTTTATAGATATATGCTTCAATATAGTCCTTTTTTCTCTATTCAATATTACCTTTATATACATACAAGTTTTACTTTCCCTATAATTTTGGGAAGAAGTGTCCTCTAAAAAACAGAACAAAATATACCCAGGAACAAATGAAACACCCTACTTTGTCCACACTGAGATTATAGCCCACTCTTCCCCTCACACCCATCTTTTAAAAAAATTTTATTTTTTTTCTAATTAAAAATAATTTTATAAATATTATTCTTGTGTTTCATTTTGGCTTTATCTTTTCAGTGGTGGACCAGTTTGGATTTTCCTAGGGTGCAAATTGCTTGGGCTATGGTTGATATTTTGGACTCAGTACATTCCCTCAACCATCCCTCAACAGAATGACTAGGAGGAGAAACTCCCAACAAAGAAAAGAACCAGAGACAATGGTCTCTGCCACAGACCTAATGGATATGGAGATAAGCAAGATGTCAGAGACAGACTTCAGGGTAGCAATTATGAAGTCAATAGCTAGGCTTGAGAAAACCATCAGTGACAATATAGAATCTCTGAGGGCAGAAATGAGATCTAATCAGGCTGAAATAAAAAATGCTATGAATGAGATTGGTCAACTCATCTAGATACTCATCAGTACTTTAGATAGTACTTTAGATACTCATCAGGATCTAAGCTGGATACCTTAACAGCCAGGATAAATGAGGCAGTAGAATGAATCAGTGATCTAGAAGATAAGCTGATAGAAAGGAAGGAAGCTGAGGATGATAGGGATGGGCTAAAGAGCTAGAAGCCCATGAGATCAGACTGAGAGAGATCAATGATGCCATGAAATGTTCCAACATCACAATTATTAGGATCCTTGAGGGGGTGGAGACAAAGAGAGTACTAGAAGGCATATTTGAGCAAATCATAGCTGAGAACTTCTCTAGTCTGGGGAAGGAAACAAGCATTCATGTCCTAGAGGCAGACAGGACCTCTCCTAAGATTAGTAAGAAGAGACAAATGCCCTGGCATGTAATAGTAAAACTTGCAAATCTTAGAACCAAAGAAGCCATCCCGAGAGCAGCTATGGGGAAGATATTTCTTAAATATGTAGGGAGGAACATCAGAATATGTCACGCCTATCCATAGAGACCTGGCAAGCCAGAAAGGGCTGGCAAGACATATTCAGGGTAGTAAATGAGACAAACATGCAGTCAAGGATACTTTATCCAGCAAGGCTGTCATTCAGAATGGATGGAGAGACAGAGTTTCTAGGACCAGCAGAAATTGAAAGAACATGTGCCTGCCAAGTCAGGCCTGCAAGAATTTTTTTTTAAAGATTTTATTTATTTATTTGACAGACAGAGATTACAAGTAGGCAGAGAGGCAGGCAGAGAGAGAGGAGGAAGCAGGCTCCCTGCTGAGCAGAGAGCCCGACGCAGGGCTCGATCCCAGGACCCTGGGATCAGGACGCGTGTGGAAGGCAGA